TTCTCCGAATTTTTAATTTTCATTTTCTCGATTTTATATCACAATTTTTTTTTCAACGTCTCCTTTGATTTTATAATTTTTCGTTTATGCAGTTTTTCAAATTTTCAATCTTCGATTTGCATTTTTGGATTTCCAAAAATCGGATTTTTCTTAATTTTTAATCTTTCGATTTTTCAATTTTTCGTTTTTTTAATTTTTCAAGTTCCTGATTTCCAATTTTTAGATTTTTTAAACTTTCTTTTTTATATTTTTTAGTTCTTGCATTTTTGATTTTTCAGCTTTATTATTTTGCTTTTTTTTTATTTTTTTTTGATTCAGAAAGTTGAAAAATCGAAAAACTGAAGGAACGAAAAAAAGTTGAAACACCGAACAATTAAAAATCGAAAAACTGAAAATCGGAAAAAATTAATGAATCGAAAAATTGGAAAAAATAAAAAAGGAATCGAATCGGAAACATTGTAAAATCAAAACATTTTAGAATCGTCAAAATTGTGAAATCGAAAAATTAAAAATTCTAAAAGTTGAAAAATCGAAAAAGGGGAAAATCGCAAAATTGCAATTCGAAGAACTGAAGAAACGAAAAATTGAAACACTGAAAAACTAAAAATCGAGAAATTGCAAAATCCAAAGTTATAGAATCGTCGAAAAATTGAAAAATTGAAACATTAAAAATCCAGAAACCAAAAAATTAAAAAAATCAAAAAATTAATTCATTTTAAAAAACTGAAGAAACAAAAAATTAAACATTAAAAAACTAAAAGTCGAGAAACTTAAAAAAATCGAAAAATTGAAAAATTAAATCTAATAATTTTTTGAAAAATTTAGATTTATATACCTTCAACCAATTTTTTTATTTTTTCCTTTATCAATTTTTATATTTTTCAAGGTTCAGGTTTCATAATGTTTGGTTTTGTAACTTTGATTTTTTCAATTTTTAATTTCTCGACTTCCGTATTTTTGAATTTTTGGTTTCTTCAATTTTCCGATTTGCAATTTTTTTTCATTTTGGAATTTTTCGATATTACAGTTTTTCATTTTTCGATTTTTCAGTTGCTCAATTTTTAATTTTTCGTTTCCTTAATTTTTCAAACTGTTGATTTTTATTCTTCATTTCTCCGAATTTTTAATTTTCCTTTTCTCGATTTTATCACAATTTTTTGTTTTTTCAGTTCTTTTATTTTTTTTTTCAACGTCTTCCTTGATTTTATAGTTTTTCGTTTATGCAGTTTTTCAAATTTTCAATCTTCGATTTGCATTTTTGGATTTCCAAAAATCGGATTTTTCTTAATTTTTAATCTTTCGATTTTTCAATTTTTCGTTTTTTTAATTTTTCAAGTCCTTGATTTCCAATTTTTAGATTTTTTAAACTTTCCTTTTTATATTTTTTAGTTTTTGCGTTTTTGATTTTCCAGTTTTACTATTTTAGTCTTTTTTAATTTTTTTGATTCAGAAAGTTGAAAAATCGAAAATCTGAAGGAACGAAAAATTGAAACGCCGAACAATTAAAAATTGAAAATCGAAAAAAATGAATTAATCGAAAAATTGGAAAAAATAAAAAAGGAATCGAATCGGAAACATTGTAAAATCAAAACATTTTAGAATCGTCAAAATTGTGAAATCGAAAAACTGCAAATTGAAAATTCCAGAAATTGAAAAATCGAAGAATTAAATATTCTAAAAGTTGAAAAATCGAAAAAGGGGAAAATCGAAAAATTGCAATTCGAAGAACTGAAGATTCGAAAAATTGAATCATTAAAAAACTAAAAATCGAGAAACTTTAAAAAATTGTAAAATCCAAAATTATAGAATCGTCGAAAAATTGAAAAATTGAAACATTAAAAATCCAGAAACCAAAAAATAAGAAAAAAATCAAAAAATTAATTAATTTTAAAAAACTGAAGAAACGAAAAGTTGAAACATTAAAAAACTAAAAATCGAGAAACTTAAAAAAAATCGAAAAATTGAAAAATTAAATCTAATAATTTTTTGAAAAGTCTAGATTTATATAGGTACCTTCAACCAATTCTTGTTTTTTTCATTTATCAATTTTTCTATTTTTCAAGGTTCAGGTTTCATAATGTTTGGTATTGTAACTTTGATTTTTTCAATTTCTCGACTTCTATATTTTTGAATTTTTGGTTTCTTCAATTTTCCGATTTGCAATTTTTTTAATTTTGGAATTTTTCGAAATTACAGTTTTTCATTTTTCGATTTTTCAGTTGCTCAATTTTTAATTTTCCGTTTCCTGAATTTTTCAAATTGTTGATTTTTATTCTTCATTTCTCCGAATTTTTAATTTTCCTTTTCTCGATTTTATATCACAATTTTTTGTTTTTTCATTTCTTTTATTTTTTTTTCAACGTCTCCTTTGATTTTATAATTTTTCGATTATGCAGTTTTTCAAATTTTCAATCTTCGATTTGCATTTTTGGATTTCCAAAAATCGGATTTTTCTTAATTTTTGATCTTTCGATTTTTCAATTTTTCGTGTTTTTAATGTTTCAAGTCCCTGATTTCCAATTTTTAGATTTTTTAAACTTTCTTTTTTATATTTTTTAGTTCTTGCATTTTTGATCTTTCAGCTTTATTATTTTGCTTTTTTTTAATTTTTTTTTATTCAGAAAGTTGAAAAATGGAAAAACTGAAGGACCGAAAAATTGAAACACCTAACAATTAAAAATCGAAAAACTGAAAATCGAAAAAAATTAATGAATCGAAAAATTGGAAAAAATAAAAATGGAATCGAATCGGAAACATTGTAAAATCAAAACATTTTAGAATCGTCAAAATTGTGAAATCGAAAAACTGCAAATTGAAAATTCTAGAAATTGAAAAATCGAAAAATTAAAAATTCTAAAAGTTGAAAAATCGAAAAATTGCAATTCGAAGAACTGAAGAAACGAAAAATTGAATCATTAAAAAACTAAAAATCGAGAAACTTTAAAAAATTGTAAAATCCAAAATTATAGAATCGTCGAAAAATTGAAAAATTGAATCTAACAGTTTTTTGAAAAATCTAGATTTTATTTACCTTGGACCAATTTTTTGATATCACAATTTTTGGTTTTTCCATTCTTTCATTTTTCAATTTTTCTATTTTTCAAAGTTTAGATTTTATAATTTTTCGTTTTTTCAACTTGGATTTTTTCAATTTTTCAATTTCTCGACCTTCATATTTTTCAGTTTTTGGTTTCTTCAATTTTTTGATATTACAGTTTTTCATTCTTCGATTTTTCAGTTTCTCAATTTTAATTTTTTCGATTTTTCAATTTAATTTTCTCGATTTTATATTACAATTTTTTGGTTCTCCTTTGTTTTTATAATTTTTAATGTATTCAAATTTTCAATTTTTGATTTTTCAATTCCACGATTTTTCAATTTTTATATTCTTTAAATTTAAATTATAAAAATAAATAATTTAATTTTGTTAATTTTTAATCTGTCGATTTTTCAATTTTCGTTTCTTCGATTTTTCAAGTGCTTGGTTTCCAGTTTTTAAATTTTCCAAAGTTTTCATTTTATACTTTTTAGTTTCTTCATTTTTTTATTATTCACTTTTATTATTTTCCATTTTTTTCATTTTTTTGATTCGAAAAGTTGAAAAATCGAAGGAACGAAAAATCCAAACACTCAAAAATTAAAAATCGAAAAACTTAAAATCGAAAAAAATTAATGATACGGAAAATTGGAAAAAAGAAGAAAGGAATCGAACATTGGAAAATCAAAAAATCGTAAAATCGAAAAACTGTAAATTGAAAAACCGAAAAATTGAAAAATTAAATATCCAGAAATTGGAAAATTAAAAATTGAAAACCGGAAAATTGCAAATAAAAAAAAATGAAAAATCCAAAAATTGAAAAATGAAAAACTCGGGAAACATTAAATAATCTAAAATTAAAGAAACGTAAATTGAGAATCGAAAAATTGAAAAATTTCACATTGAAGGAAAGAAAAAATTTGAGGAAATGACAAATTGAACAATCGAAAAATTGAAAAATTAAAAATCAATAATTGAGAAATGGAAAATTTCTAAAATCGTAAAATTTTAAAAGTGAAAAATTATTACATATTTAAAATGAAAAACAGAAAATTAAGTAAAAAATTTAAGGAAAAAAATTAAAAAAACTAAAAGTTGAAAAATCAAAAAATTGAAAAATTAAAAAATTAAAGAAATTCTCACTGAAAAAAGAAAAATTATAAAATCGGTACAGTGAAAAACCGGAAAACTGACCTAATAAAGAAAATAGAAGACGGAACCGAAAAATTGAAAAATAAAAAATTGAAAACTCGAGAAACCCTAAATACCGAAATATTGAAATATCTTAAAGTTGGAAAATTGGAAAACTGAAAAATTTTAATTTGAAAACTCGAAACATTCCAAATCGAAAAACTGAAGAAACAAAAAAATGGAAAACGGAAGAAGAATATAATTTTTCAAAGAAGTGCGATTTATGGCTGCACTTCAGAAACAAGGAAAGTTCTGTCGAAACAATCTACCAATTTTTTGTCAATCAAAATTCCCGAAAATCCCCGCCCCCGTCCCTTATTCACCTCTCCACCTCCTTATGCAACCAACAATACACCACCGCACCAATTTCCCGAAAACGAGCGGTCGCATCTCCCGCGGCCCCATAAACCCCGTCTCCCGGCGCGCCCGCCGCCCCCGGCCCATCACGTTATCTCCTGCAGAGCCGTAAAGCCGGCGACGTCGCCATTGCACCGTAAATAAGAAAAGCCAAGAACTGGGTCACGTCATACCCTTTCCGGATTAAGTGCACCTCCAGATTCCGGGCGATGAGCCCGCCCGGCTCCGGTTCGCTCTGTGTCCTGCCGCCCCCGGCCGGGGTGTTACGCAGATATTTTACGGCTTCGAGAGGCGGTAATCTGGCTTTATGATATCGACCTGCAGCCGTTCTCTCGAGGGCCATCATTTGCCAGACGGAGCCGTCAAGGACTCGCTCGGAGTGCAATCCGGGACGCGCTATCAAATTAATGCTGATATGCGGCACCTTATCGCCGGGGGCGGCGGGGCGGCGGCGCGGCGGCGGCGGCAGAGCAAATGTACGGGGCGTTTCACGAATTTCGGCACAGACGTTAATGATAAATAGTAATAAAAAAAATACAGTTTTAGAAAGCCAAATAACGGAAAATTTTGGGAAAAATAAATGAAAAAGATGAAACACAGGGGGAGGAGAGAGGAGCAAGAAAGAGATGGACAAGAATGAAAGAGAGCGGAGAACATAACAGAAGAGGAAAACGATAGAGGGGGAAAATAACGAAGGAAAAAAGAAAACGGAAACTGGACAGAAAATCAGATGGGGAGAAAACACGGGGGAAATGACAGATAGAAAGAAAGAGATAGGGCAAAGACAAAAGAGCAAAAAATTACAGAGACCAACAAGGAGATAAACGGAAGAAATACAGAGAAGGAGACCAAAAGACACACGGGAAAGAACTCAAAATAGGAGAAAGACACACGGCGGAAAGACAAGGTAGAAACGAGAAAAAGAAAGGAAAAACCAGAAAGACAGGAAAAAAGGCAGACGAAGAAAGACAGAAGAGGTTAAAAATAGATGAGGAAAATAACGAAGGAGAAGAAGACAGATCTGACGAAAAGCAGAAGGAAAGCAAGACAAGGGGGAGGAAAGAGAGGAAGATAGAAGTAAAGAAAAGAAAGGAGATCTGGGATGAAAACAGATGAGAAAAAGGGCAAAGAGGAGAAGCGAATGGGAAGAAACACAGAAGAGAAATACACAGACCAAAACACAAATAAAAAAAACAGACAAGGAGGAAAGAAAGAAACCACACTGGGAAGAACCCAAAAAAAGAAAAACATAGAGGAGGAGAAACGAAGAAAGAGAAAGGAGACTGGAGACAAAGAAAAGAGGAGAAAGGAGTCTAGAAAGAAAGACCAATGAGGAGAAGAGCAAAAGGGGGAAAGACACAAAAAGAAAAGAAAGACCGGCAAGGAGAAAGACGGAAGAAATACAGAAAGGGAGACCAAAAGACAAGAAAGACACACGGGTAGAAAGACAAGGTGGAAGAAAAAGAAAGGGAAAAAATAGAAAGAAGGGGGGAAAGACAGAAGAGGACAGAAATAGATGGGGAAAATAACGAAGGAAATGGCGACAAATGTGCCGAAAAACAAAAGGAAAAGAAAGCAAGGAAGAGGAAAGAGAGAGGGGTGGAAGAAAAGTAGAGAAAGCAGAGTGAGGAGACAAACAAAAGGACAGACGGAGACACAAGCAAGTGGGAAGAAATATAAAAGAAATAAACAAAACACAAAAGAAAAGAAAGACAGAGAGTGAGAAAGACGGAAAGAAGTACAGATTGCAAGGTGGGGAAATCGAGTAGGAAAAGACTCATAAGGAAGAACACTAAAGAAGATAAAAACAGACGAGGAGAAAAAGTACGGGGGAAATGACAGATAGAGAGAAAGAGGGAGGGAAAAGACAAAGGCGGGTTTGATTTAAAGAAATGAAAATTTGAGACATTGAAAGAAAACTACAAAAACCAGTCGAAGAGAAAAGAGTTGTTGATAAATCAAGAAATCTAGAAAAAAAATGAAAGAAAACAACGCGTAATAAACAGAGGGGAACCGCTGTTTTCAGGTGATTTCGTCGTCAGTGCTGCCAACCGTCAATCACGGCCACCGCAAATTTCCCCGTTTTCGCCTCATCTCCTCCAACAGTCTCCACTCCGCAAAGAAAATCCTGGATAAAAGGCGAAATTTCCATTTTCCGCCAACTCCAAATAATTGAAACGATAAAGTCTCGAGTCGCGTTTTTCCCTCCGGCGTCTCGTGCAAACATCCTTTGTTGTTCTTGCGAAAATCACCCAACAAAAGCAAAACCGATTCGGGTCAGTCCGTAAAAGCCGACCTTCTTTCGCGAAAGCTCTATTATTTAAGCTCGCCGAACACGAGCACATATTTTATTTTCGCTCGTAAAGCGGGAGTGGGATAAACATCGTCATTGCAGGACGGGATAGTCGCTGCGCTTTTTCTTCGGTCGCTGAAAAAGCGCACTCGGTGATGAAGCCGCGAGGACAGTCTGGGAAATCGGGGAAGCGATGGAAATTTATGGAGATTTTTTGCGAGATCGAGAGATTGCGAAGTGATTTATCAAAGTTCGGGCGAAAGCTGGAACAATGCAGTCGCGGGCGCTAAAAGCGGAGAAGAGGCGAAAGGAGCGCTTAAAGCGGAGGCGATTTATTGCGGGAAACATCGAAATGTATATTGCGGGGTTATGGGCTGCTGAAAAGTTTGATGGAGATGCAAAGAGGATTGCAATTTATAGCAGGACGAGGAGATATTTCAGAGTTTCCGGAATTTCTGCTTTTTCGTGACACTTCAAAGTTAACCAGAGGAGAAATTTGTCGAAGGTTATTCGACAGAACTTTTCTCCCGCAGCTTTTTTGACTTGAATTTATCAGTTTTTCGATTTTCTAACTTTTAAATTTTTCAAATTTTGCAATTATTCGATTCTTCAATGTTTCGATTTTATAATTTTCTGTTTTTTCAATTTTAATCTTTTCAGACCTTCATTTCTTCAATTTTTCATTTTTTTTTTATTTCTCAAATTTTCAATTTTTCGATTTAAATTTCTCGAGTTCTCAATTTTTAATTTTTAACTTTTTTGGTCTTCAGTTTGCCGTCTTCTTGTCAGTCTTTCTTTTCTTTTGTGTTTCGCTTTGTGTGTTTCCCCCCGTTTCTCTCCTTTTTGCTCTTCTTCCTATCTGTCTTTGTCGGTGATCCATAGTTATCTGAGGTTAAATCAAACTGATACCGGTGTCCCGAAAAAAAAATAATTAAACAAATCTCTCTTTGTCTCTAATCACCTTTCCCATCGTTCCTTTGTCTCCACTCTCCTTTCTTTTCTTTCGTTTCTCCCACTCTCTCTTTCTCATTCTTGTCTTTTAGCCCTTTCGTGTTTTCCCTCCTTCTTTCTCTCTATCTATCTGTCATTTCCCCCGTGTCTTATCTTCCGGTCTATATTTATCTTCTTATCTGTTCTTCCTTCTGTATGTGTCTTTTTCCCCTGTCTTTCCCGACCTCTGTTTGTCCCCCAATCTGTAGTTCTTTCCGTCTTTCACCTTGTCTGTCTTTCTTTGTCTCTCTTTCTTTTCTTTTGTGATTAGTTTATTTCCCTTCTGTGTTTCTTTTCATTTGCTTGTTTCTCCGTATGTATTTCTCCACTTTACTGTGTTTCCAATCTGTTTTTCTCCTTAGTCTCATTTTTCTTCTTTCGTTTCTCCCCCTCTCTCTTTTTCATTCTTGTTTTTTACCTCTTTTGCCTTTCCCCGCCTTTGTCTTTTATCCCTTTTGTCTTTCCCTCCCTTTTCTTCTTCTCTATGTGTCATTTTTCCAGTGTCTTACCTTCTCGTCTATCTTTATTTTCTTTTCTGTTCTTCCTTCTGTGTCTTTTTCCCCTGTCTTTCCTGACCTCTGTTTGTTACCCAATCTGTAGTTCTTTCCGTCTTTCTCCTTGTCTGTCTTTCTCTTCTTTTGTGTTTCGTTTATTTCTCTTCTGTGTTTCTTTCCATTTGCTTGACTCTGTCTGTATTTCTCCTCTTTACTGTTTTTCCAATCTGTTTTTCTCCTCAGTCCCATTTCTCTTCTCTCGTTTCTCCCCCTCTCTCTTTTTCATTCTTGTTTTTTACCTCTTTTGCCTTTCCCCACCTTTGTCTTTTTATCCCTTTTGTCTTTCCCCCCCTTTTCTTCTTCTCTATGTGTTATTTCTCCCGTGCCTTAACTTCTCGTCTATCTTTATTTTCTTTTCTATTTTTCCTTCTGTGTCTTTTTCCCCTGTCTTTCCTGACCTCTGCTTGTCCCCTAATCTATAGTTCTTTCCGTCTTTCACCTTGTCTGTCTTTCTTTTCTTTTGTGATTAGTTTATTTCCCTTCTGTGTTTCTTTTCATTTGCTTGTTTCTCCGTATCTATTTCTCCACTTTACTGTGTTTCCAATCTGTTTTTCTCCTCAGTCTCATTTTTCTTCTTTCGTTTCTCCCCCTCTCTCTTTTTCATTCTTCTTTTTTACCCCTTTTGCCTTTTCCCGCCTTTGTCTTTTTATCCCTTTTGTCTTTCCCTCCCTTCTCTTCTTCTCTATGTGTCATTTCTCCCGTGCCTTAACTTCTCGTCTATCTTTATTTTTTTTTCTGTTCTTCCTTCTGTGTCTTTTTCCCCTGTCTTTCCTGACCTCTGTTTGTTCCCCAATTTGTAGTTCTTTCCGTCTTTCTCCTTGTCTGTCTTTCTTTACTTTTGTGTTTCGTTTATTTCTCTTCTGTGTTTCTTTCCATTTGCTTGACTCTGTCTGTATTTCTCCTCTTTACTGTTTTTCCAATCTGTTTTTCTCCTCAGTCCCATTTCTCTTCTCTCGTTTCTCCCCCTCTCTCTTTTTCATTCTTGTTTTTTACCCTTTTTGTCTTTCCCCGCCTTTGTCTTTTTATCCCTTTTGTCTTTCCCTCCCTTTTCTTCTTCTCTATGTGTCATTTTTCCCGTGTCTTAACTTTTCGTCTATCTTTATTTTCTTTTCTGTTCTTCTTTCTGTGTCTTTTTCCCCTGTCTTTCCTGACCTCTGTTTGTTCCCCAATCTGTAGTTCTTTCCATCTTTCTCCTTGTCTGTCTTTCTTTTCTTTTGTGTTTCGTTTATTTCTCTTCTGTGTTTCTTTCCATTTGCTTGACTCTGTCTGTATTTCTCCTCTTTACTGTTTTTCCAATCTGTTTTTCTCCTCAGTCCCATTTCTCTTCTCTCGTTTCTCCCCCTCTCTCTTTTTCATTCTTGTTTTTTACCTCTTTTGCCTTTCCCCACCTTTGTCTTTTTATCCCTTTTGTCTTTCCCCCCCTTTTCTTCTTCTCTATGTGTCATTTCTCCCGTGCCTTAACTTCTCGTCTATCTTTATTTTCTTTTCTATTTTTCCTTCTGTGTCTTTTTCCCCTGTCTTTCCTGACCTCTGCTTGTCCCCTAATCTATAGTTCTTTCCGTCTTTCACCTTGTCTGTCTTTCTCCTTGTCTGTCTTTCTTTTCTTTTGTGATTAGTTTATTTCCCTTCTGTGTTTCTTTTCATTCGCTTGTTTCTCCGTATGTATTTCTCCACTTTACTGTTTTTCCAATCTGTTTTTCTCCTCAGTCTCATTTTTCTTCTTTCGTTTCTCCTCCTCTCTCTTTTTCATTCTTGTTTTTTAACCCTTTTGACTTTCCCCGCCTTGGCCTTTTTATCCCTTTTGTCTTTCCCTCCCTTTTCTTCTTCTCTATGTGTAATTTCTCCCGTGTCTTAACTTCTCGTCTATCTTTATTTTCTTTTCTGTTCTTCCTTCTGTGTCTTTTCCCCTGTCTTTCCTGACCTCTGTTTGTTACCCAATCTGTAGTTCTTTCCGTCTTTCTCCTTGTCTGTCTTTCTCTTCTTTTGTGTTTCGTTTATTTCTCTTCTGTGTTTCTTTCCATTTGCTTGACTCTGTCTGTATTTCTCCTCTTTACTGTTTTTCCAATCTGTTTTTCTCCTCAGTCCCATTTCTCTTCTCTCGTTTCTCTCCCTCTCTCTTTTTCATTCTTGTTTTTTACCCTTTTTGTCTTTCCCCGCTTTTGTCTTTTTATCCCTTTCGTCTTTCCTTCCCTTTTCTTCTTCTCTATCTGGCTTTTCCCCCGTGTCTTTTCTGCCCGTCTATCTTTATCTTCTTCCCTGTGGGTTTTTTCTTTCTTTCCTTCTTTCCCCTTGTGTGTTTTTCTTTTCTTTTGTGTTTCTTCCTATTTCCTTATCTTTCCGTCTATCTTTTTCCTCTTCATTGTATTGTTTTTCTTCTCTTTCTCGTCACATCTGTCTTTCTCTCCTTTGTACCGTTTTGTCTTTCCTTGCCTCAGACTTTTTACCCCTTCTTTCTGTTTTTCCCGTTCTCTTCCTCTTTATTTCTCGTTTCCACCTTGTCTTTCTCCCCCCTGTCTCCTTCTCATCTTTAGTGTTCTTTCCCGTGTGTCTTTTGATCTCCCTTTCTGTATTTTTCTCCTTGCCTATCTTCCTTTTTTTTGTGTTTCGCTTTGTGTCTCTCTCTTGTCTTCTTCTTTCCCGCTTTCTCTTTGTGTGTTTTTCTTTTCTTTTGTGTTTTGTTCTGTGTATTTCCCTTCTGCTTATATTTCCGTCTGTTTTTCTCACCTTTGTCCTTTCCAACTCTGTTTTTCTCCCCAGCCTCCCTCGTCTCCTTTTCTTTCACTCCTTTCTTTCCTCTTCCTTGTGTTGTTTTCCTTCTATTTTTCGTTACATCTGTCTTCCTTTCCTTCATTATTTTCCCTATCTATTTTTGTACCGTTTTGTCTTTCCTTGCCTCTGTCTTTTTACCCCTTCTTTCTGTTTTTCCCTTTCTCTCCCTCTTTATCTCTCGTTTCCACCTTATCTTTCTCCCCTTGTCTCCTTCTCATCTTTAGTATTCTTTCCTGTGTGTCTTTTGATCTCCATTTCTGTATTACTACCATTTTTCTCCTTGCCTATCTTCCTTTTCTTTTGTGTTTCGCTTTGTGTCTCTCTCTTGTCTTCCTCCTTTTTGCTATTCTTCCTATCTGTCTTTCTCTCTCTACTATCCTTTCTCTTCGTTTCTTTGTCTTCAGCCTCCTTCCTCTTCTTTCGTTTCTCCCTTTCTATCTTTCTCATTCTTTTCTTTTCGTGTTTTTTTAGCCTTTTTGTGTTTTCCCTCCCTATTTCTCTCTATCTGTCATTTTCCACGTATCTTTTCTGCCCATTTATCTTTATCTTCTTTTGTGTTCTTCCTTCTGACTCTTTTCTCCCTATCTTTCTCCACCTCTGTTTGTCTCCTAATCTATGGTTCTTTCCGTGTTTTGTTTATTTTCTTTCTGTTATTTCTTCCCATTTCCTTGTCTCTCCGTCTATCTTTCTCCTCATTGCTATTTTTCCAATACGTTTTCCCCTGAGTCTTCTTTCTCTTCTTTCCCTTCTCTCCCTCTCTCTTTTTATTCTTGTTTTTACCCCTTTTGTCTTTCCCTGCCTTTGTCTTTTTATCTTTGTTGTCATTTACCCCGTGTCTTTTCTCCCCGTCTATATTTATCTTCTTCCCTGTGTGTTTTTTCTTTCTTTCTTTCCCTCTTTCTCCTTGTGTGTTTTTCTTTTCTTTTGTGTTTTGTTCTGTGTATTTCCCTTCTGTGTTTCTTCCCATTTGCTTATGTTTCCGTCTGTTTTTCTGATCTTTGTCCTTTCCCACTCTGTTTTTCTCCCCAGCCTCTCTCGTCTCCTTTTCTTTCACTCCTTTCTTTCCTCTTCCTTGTCTTCCTCTCCTTCATTATTTTCCCTATCTATTTTTGTACCGTTTTGTCTTTCCTTGCTTCAGTCTTTTTACCCTTTCTTTCTGTCTTTTCCCTTTCTCTTTTTCCTTATCTCTCGTTTTCACCTTGTCTTTCTCCCCGTGTATCCTTCTCATCTTTAGTGTTCTTCCCGTGTTTTTTTAGCCTTTTTGTGTTTTCCTTCCCTCTTTCTCTCTACCTGTCATTTTACACGTGTCTTTTCTGCCCATCTATCTTTACCTTCTTTTGTGTTCTTCCTTCTGTCTCTTTTCTCCTTGTCTTTCTCCACCTCTGTTTGTCTCCTAATCTGTAGTTCTTTCCGTCTTTCTCCTTGTCTGTTTTTCTTTTCTTTTGTGTTTTGTTTATTTTCCTTCTGTTATTTCTTCCCATTTGCTCGTATCTTCGTCTGTGTTTTTCTCTTCTTTCCTATTTTTCCAATCTGTTTTCCCCCTGAGTCTTCTTTCTCTTCTTTCGTTTCCCTTCCTCTCTCTTTTTATTCTTGTTTTTCATGCCTGTCGTTTTCCCCGTGTCTTTTTTCCCCGTCTATCTTTATCTTCTTTTTTGTGTTTCGTCCCTTTTGCTTGTCTCTCGCTCTTTCTTCCCATTTGCTTATCTTTGCGTCTTTCGTTCCAATTTTTGCCCTTTTCCCCCTCTGTTTTTCTCCCCAGTCACCTTTGTCTCGTTTTTTCCACACCTTTCTCTCCTCTTCCTTGTCTTGTTTTCCTTCTATTTTTCGTCACATCTGTCTTCCTGTGTTTCGTTATTTTCTATATTTATTTTTGTCTCCTTTTCTCTTTCCCTGCCTCACTCTTTTAATTCTTTCTGTTTTTTACTTTCTCTTCCTCTCTATCTCTCGTATCCACTTTGTCTTTCTCCCCGTGTGTCATTCTTATCTTTTGTGTTCTTCCCCGTGTGTCGTTTGATCTCCCTTTCTGTTTCGCTTTGTGTTTTTCTTTCTGCTTTTTCCTCTTCTTCTCATCTGTCTTTCTCTCTAGTATTTTTTCCTCTTTTCTTTGTCTTCAGCCTCCTTTCTCTTTTGTCGTTTCTTCCATTATTTCTTTCTGATTCTTATCTTTTACTCCTTTTGTTTTTCCCCGCAACTTTCTTTTTCCCCTTTTGTCTTTTCCTCCTTCTTTTCAAACCTCTATTTGTTTCCCAATCCGTATTCTTTCCGTTTTTTTCGATTTTTCCATTTCTCTTTCTCATTCTTCTTTTACACCTTCTGTCGTTTCCCCCGTGTCTTTTTTCCCCATCTATCTTTAACTTCTTTTGTGTTCTCCCCTGCATGTTTCTCCTTCTCTGTTTTTCTTTTCTTTTGTGTTTTGTTCTTTGCATTCCTCTTCTGTGTTTCTTCCCTTTTGCTTGACTGTTTGTATGACTTTCTTCCCATTTGCTTCTCTCCATCTGTCTTTCTCCTTTTTGCTCTTTTTCCCATTTGTTTTTCCCCAATCTTCTTTCGCTCCATTTCTTACATCCCTACTCTTTTTCTCTATCTGTCTTTCCCATATCTAGTCTCCTTTCTCTTCGTTCGTTTCTCCCCATTTCTCTTTTTCTTTCTTGTTCTTCCCTCTGTGTCTTTTCTTTCTTTCCATTTTTATTCTTGTCCCTTTTTATTTTCTTTTGTGTGATTTTTTCACACCTGTTTTTGTCCCCACTCTCCTTTCTCTTCTTTTCTTTCATTCCCCTCTTTTTCCCCCCTCTTGTCTTGCTTTCCTTCTGTTTTTTGTCAGATCTGTCTTCCTTTCCTTCGTTATTTTCTTCATCTATTTTTATGCTCTTCTGTTTTTCCTCGTCTCCGTCTTTTTAGCCTTTCTTTCTAATTTATCTTTCCTCTTTCTCTTTTCCACTTTATCTTTCTCCCCGTTTGTCATTTGGTCTTCCCCTCTTTTCATTCTTGTCTTTTACCCCTTTTGTTTTCCGCCGCCTTTGTATTTTTCACCCTTTTGTCTTTTCCCTCCCTCTTTCTCTCTATCTCTCATTTCCCAATGCTTTTTCTCCTCGTCTATCTTTATCTTCTTTTGTGTTTCGTTTATTTCCCTTCTGTGTTTCTTCGCATTTGCTTATCTCTCCGTCTGTCTTTCTTCCTTGTTATCTTGCTTTCTTTCTACTTTTCGTCACATCTGTCTACCTTTTCTTCGTTAATTTCCTCATTAATTTTTGTCCCGTTCTGTCTTCCTCTGCCTCTGTTTTTTTCTCCTTCTTTCTGTTTTTCCCTGTTTCTTCTTCTGTATCTGTCGTTTCCACCTTGTCTTTCTCCTCTTTTATGTTCTTTCCCATATGTCTTTTGGTCTCCCTTTCTCTGTTTCGCTTAGTATCTTTCCTTTTATCTTTCTCTTTTTTGTTTTTCTTCCCATCTGTCTGTCAAAAAAAAAGAGGATTTAAGGATTTTGGTGTTTCGAGGGTCTGAGAATATTGGATTTTTAGTTTTTTAATGCTTCAGTTTTTCGTTTCTTCAGTTCTTCGAATTGCTATTTCTCAATTTTCCACTTTTTCAATTTTGCAATTTTTCGTTTTTCCGGGTTTTGGATTTTTCAATTTTTTCCGATTTTTTAATTTTTCGATTTTTCAACTTTTTGAAACAAAAAATGGAAAAATTGCGTAGTTGTAAAATTGAAAAATCAAAAATTGAAAAACTGAAAATTTTGGAAAATTTAAAAATTGGAACTCAAAATCTAGAAAAACTGAAAAAACGAAAGAAACGAAAAATTGAAAAAGTGCGAAATCGAAAAAATCAAATATACATTGTAAAATCTAAATATTTAAAATGAAGAACTTGAAAAATTGGAAATCGAAAAAATTGAAGTAGAAAGAATGAAAAATTGTGAAACCGAAACATTCAGAAATGGAAAAATTGAAAACTAAACAGAATGAAAACACGAAAAATTGTGATTTCAAAAAATTGGTCGAAGCTAAATAAATTCAGATTTTTCAAAAAAGTGAGTTTTCCATTATAAAATTTTGAGATGACGTCACCAATTTTTTGGGAGGGTAGAAACAACAGACGACAAACAGACAAACGTAACATCGCGAAAACATGAAAGTGACTCGATTACTTCACTTCCGCGCTTACGCTCAGGGCCGTATTAATAAAATTCCGCACACCACACACCAAGCCTCTCCTCGTTACGCAATAGTAAATAATCTCTCTCCTAATCTCGCGATTCTCATTAAGATTCCAAAAAATCCTGGTGCGTATCTCCAACATAATGCAAACGATTAAAACGCTCCATAACTCCTCACCTCAAATAATAGAAATCGTCAAAATTACTAAACCCATTAATCAAATCCAATGATTCATCACATTAGAATACCAGTTCAACGCACTACTACGGGACCATTTAAACCCGAATCGCCCCCGACGAAATTAATTCCGTTTTGCGTTCCCGTCTATTTTCGGGGAGTTCTTGCGAAATGAGGAAGAGCAGACACCCAAAACCCACCACAACTAATCGATATCTCAGTCTAGCCATGGTCGTTGTCCCCGTGACGTCATTTCGCATTGCGTATGAGGTCAATGACGTGGCAGACAAGAGACAGACAAACAACTTTATTGTCCGCACAATATTTCGGTTGGTGTAGGTCAAATTCGCACTCGAAATCTTGGAACTTTCTAATTTTTTTTGCACGGTTGGCTGCGGTACAGTTAGGGAGATTTGCATGAGGTTGGCACACATAAATTGCGTAGCGTTTTTGGCGAAATTTTATGGGTTTTGGAGTGTTGGTTAGAGAGAGACGGAGAATAAAGTGAGAATTATACAGCGTAAAAAAAATTAAGCAAGGTGTGTGAAGTAAAAGAAAAGCGGACACGAGGAACATTTGCATAAATTACAAGAGGAATGTGGAATCTTCTTAATTTTTCGTGTGAAAGAATATGGTTAGAAGGTTTTTTTAGACAACCTCAATGACACTAGTTATATGTAAGAATTACATAATAAAAAAATCTAGAAAATTACACAGCAAGATTTACAGAAGTGATGGATAAGAAAACAAAGAACAACAAAAAATGGTGCTAACAGTGAAGAACGAAGGATAAGTAGAACACGTAAACAAAAACTAGAAGGATCGAAATTTATGGCAAATAAAATGCACCGAAGTACAAAAAAATAGGCAAAAAATATAAAACAGTAAAGAATGTAAAAAAAGTTAAAAAATTTAACAAAATCAGGTCAGGTCAGGTTATTTATATATTATAAGAGAATTTATGTAAAAGTTAGTTAGAACAGTGAGATAATTAGATGAATCCAAAATTTAAGCAAGTTCACAGAGTAAAAATCGAACTTATAGTTTAAAAAAAGACCCATAACAGTACTTAAGAAGCAAAGTAAAGTGTGGTGGAAAAGGAGAAAGACTGACGGAGAGAAAAAACAGACGGACCAAGAACAAGTAGAAATGACAGAAAGGGGAAAAAAGTCAGAAGTGAAAAAAGACAAACAATGAGAAAGATAAATGGGAAAAGTAATGAAGATAAGGGTTTGGAAAGGGAGACGAGGAGGAAAGATACAGACGGCGAAGGACGCGGAGGAACGACAGACAGAAAGAAAGAACAACAGACAGATAGAAGGAGGGAAAGACAGAGGCGGAAAAATACTGAAAGGTAAAAAGGGTAAATGGAAAGGCGAAGAGAATGTGGAAAATCGGGAATTTGAAAAGACAAAAAATTGTCACACTGAAACAACGAAAAATTGACACATCAAAAATTGGAAAAAATGGGAAATTGCAAAATAGAAAAATTGAAAAATTTAATCACTGAAAAATCAAAATTTGGGATATCGGAAAATTTTGATTTTTTAATGTTTAAATTTTTCAATTTTTCTATTTTGGAATTTCTCAGTTGTTAATTTTTCAATTTCTCGATTTTTAATATGACAATTTTCCG